CATCTGCAATAACCTATGGTAGAGTTGTTGATGATACATATTTTAAGGATGAAACTGAATATGACAGCGACGATGATGACCTCAGTCTTGGAAAGATTCAGGAGGCTTATAAGAAGATGTACAGTAAATGGCTTGTTGTTTACAAACGAAATAAATCGCTTGAAGATGAAGTTGCTATCTTAACAAAGGAAAGAGATGAGTTGAAGAAGGCTGCAACAAATTATGAAATCTTGGCAACAAAGCCTCAGAGAAAGCTTGCTGAGACCATACTCGAATTGGAGCATACCCAAAACAATTTAAGGATGCTAAACTCGGGCATAACAAAATTGGATCACTTACTCTCACAACAAAAAACTTGTGGTGATCATTCAGGCCTTGGCTACAAGGGTCAAGAAATTTATGGGAAGACTCTCTTTGTGAAAGGAGACACCAGTACTATGATGCAGTCTTTTAAGAAAGCTCAGGTAAGATCAGACAAGAAGTTTGTTGCAAAGCCTGTTGTAACAAGACAAGCAACAGACAGGTTTGTTCCTATCTGTCACTATTGTAATTTGACTGGCCACATTAGACCTAGATGTTACAAATACTTGAATGCTTTAAAAAGAGGTATGATCATTAATCCACCAAGTTCTGTATTCATAAGAAGGACACCTAAAGCAAAGATTGATATGCAAAATAAAATTCCTAGACGTATGTGGGTAAGGAAATCTGATTTAAGGTATCATAGGGCTTATACTTCTTTTAAAGCATGTTCTACTAACTCTGAGTATTGTGGTAATGGTCACTTCAAGCTTTTGATAGGTGATAAAAGCAATATGCATGGTAGACTATCATATTCAGGGGGAGTAAGACTCGTTGAGGATTCAAGGGGAGCGATTTGCAGAAATCAATGAATTGGAACATGATCTACAGAAAAGTGTTGCACAGAGTATTCCATCAGGTGTTGCAACACTTTCTGCGACAACAGTTTTATTTTGGCTTATTTTTGTCAAAAAAGGGGAGTAGATAGTCTATGATGTTTTAGTTCAGGCGGAGTTTTTCTTGGAGACAATTTGCTTCTGACTTTACAAGAGTTATTTTGTTTCAGTTTCCATTTTTAGTTTTGCCAAAACAATGCCAAAGGGGGAGATTGTTGGGATTTATTTCCCAAATTCTGTATTGATTCTAATCATTTTATGATTGGCATTATTTTGGAAATGATTGGCTAATTGATTGTGTTTGAGAATAGATGTGAAACTGGCAAACTCTTTATGGAAGGTTTCTGTAAGAATCTGGAAACTTAATTCAGTTACTTTTTTGAAAAGTCAACTATTGATCCTAAGATGGTAAATTATTAATTGGTGATTTGATTGATATTTGATGGAGATTTCGTAGTTGGATGATCTTCCTCTGTCTCCTAAGAACGTGTCCAGGTTTATATATCAGTTTCGGGAGGGTTTCAGAATTAAAGCAGATTGATTCAGACTGGTTTTAAAAAAGTCGACCTTGATAGCCATGTTGCAGTTATTGTTGCAACAAGGATCTGCAACAGATTTGGTTCAGCGAATTAATTGAAGAGGTCATCAAGCTGTTATCATTTTACTTATTTATTCAAAGAGTCTCTTGTATCTCTGTACACCTTTTGATTAGTTTTGCTGGGTTGTGTGAGAGGTGAGCACTTGTATTCAAGAGAGATGATTTGAGTGTTTTTTAGAGAAAAACTTAGTTGGAGGGATTCCAATGTTAAAAAGTCGAGGGGATCTCACTGTACAAGTCCATTGGAAAATTGCAAGTGTTGGAAAATAATGGCATCGAGTGCGCAACAGAATTTTAAAAAATTTAAATCAATGCCAAAGCCAATCAAGAACATGTTTATGATGCTATATAACATAAATACTAAAAATCTAAATCATACCTTTTAAGATTTAGGAAACTGCACGTCTGACAGATCAAAGCGCTCCAAACAGCAACTAGAAGAGCCTCAACCAACTGGTCTTCTTTGCTATTCTCGTTTCCACGATCGGAGTACGGGCGGGCACACGTCGTTCAGTCTCCTCTTGGTATTCAAGAGAGATGATTTGAGTGTTTTTTAGAGAAAAACTTAGTTGGAGGGATTCCAATGTTAAAAAGTCGAGGGGATCTCGCTGTACAAGTCCATTGGAAAATTGCAAGTGTTGGAAAATAATGGCATCGAGTGCACAGCAGAATTTTAAAAAATTTAAATCAATGTCAAAGCCAATCAAGAACATGTTTATGATGCTATATAACATAAATACTAAAGATCTAAATCATACCTTTTGAGATTTAGGAAACTTCACGTCTGACAGATCAAAACGCTCCAAACATCAACCAGAAGAGCCTCAACCAACTGGTCTTCTTTGCTATTCTCGTTTCCACGATCGGAGTGCGGGCAGGCACACGTCGTTCAATCTCTTCTTGGTATTCTTGATCTCCTTCCAATTACAAGAGAGCCAAAGAAAAAATTGTTCTTGAGAATTAAACAATTTTTCCTCTCAGGAATCTTTTATCAATAGCCTCCAAAAAGTCTCTCAAGTGATCTAATGAGTAATGTGACTTAATAGGCTATTTATAGTGTTTAGGACGTCATACTTCCGTAATAATTAGGTTTCCCAAAGTCTTAATCGCATCCATAGTCGATTTTGCCACGTCAACATGCATTTTACGTTATAACTGGTCGACCGGTGACAGAGACGTTATAACTCACCGGCCGACCTGTCTTCACTAACCGGTCGACCTGTCTGCACTGACGAAAGTTGTTTTCCTAGTTTTTCAACACGGGAAACTTGCATAGAGCCTCAGTTTTGATTCAAGCAACCCAATAGAGAAATTGCATGATCAAAACAGTCATATAATAGTCTTCCTATATTAAACAACTCTTAAAACAATAATTCAACCAATTTATCTAGAATTAATTTATCAATTAATTCACCCGATAAATCACCCATGAATTAACTTTGAACCTCTTTTACATAAATAACACAAGTTACCAATGTGTAGGAAATACGTCGTATCGTTACAGGAAATTATGTGAGCTAGTAAAGGGACCGGATGGACATATATAAATCAAGCTCCTATAATCACAACACTACTTGTAAACCAACAAGTCCGTCTCATGATTATAAAACTCTAGCACTATTCCACTGAAAGCCTAGAGCTGCACTCTCGATTTATATAGCGTATTTACAAAGCTCTGATTAGCTCTAGTCCATGACTCAATATATTAGTGTATCATCCCCATAGGATATCCATAATCGACTTAAGGTCAAGTTATGTTTTACCTTCCCGATTACATTTATCTTATGTTCCATTATCATACCATCGAAAAAATACTATTCGTACCATTACAAATAGTAAACCATTAGATAACATAGAGTAGTCTAATGGCTGAGCGCTCGTATTTTCCAATCCACTGATAATGCATAAGAGGATATCATTGACTCTTTATGAGAGCTATGGATTCCACTATCTATGAATAACGAATCTACACATACACGAGTCATACCCCTAATGTACCGGCAAGCGTACCTTTACATAATGTCAGGATGTCTCCCTTTAGTACATCAAAGGATACAAGTCAAGTATACAGGTTCATCATCCATCTCAGGATTAAGATGACAACATATAATTCATCAAAAGTGAATTGTTTTATTCAAACAGAATTATTAATTAAAACAACTCAACTTTGGTCCGATCAAATATAGATTTCACCATTAGAAACTATATCAATGTCTCCACCCATGGAGTCCCACCTCCGACAACCAAGACAAGCTGTCTCTGTTTGGAAGTAGACAACATAGATTTAGAATGACAGTCTCGGACTTTCATTTTGCTTATCATACATTCAACTATTATGAACATAAAGAGGACAATACATAGATATATGAAATAAATAAATCTTTATCAATAGTCAAAATGTCTCAAAGAATATTGTTACATTTATTCCTAAGAGCATAAACGCTAACAGCAAGTTCATAGGCGTTTTCTTAGAGAAGGAGTCTCGGGTAGATTAAGTCCAATTGAATTGTAAAATAGTTCTTACTGGATTGTTCATCATCTGGGCGTGGCCCCGCGGAGTAGGTTGTTACCGAACCGCGATACCATTTCTCTCGTGTTTTTTTATTTTATGTTTCTGCATTATTCATATTATCTTATAAAGTGTTAAAAGACTCAAACCGGTACCAACAATTATAATTTTAGATAATGACGATAATGATAGAATATGATCATAAGAATAATTAATAATAATACTTGCAAAATTATTACTTATGGATAGATTTCAAAAAATAATTTTTTTGTCACTATACTAAATACATAATACAAAATAAGATCGTAAACATAATTATGACCCCGATTAATTACAAATCAGATAGTTAATAAAATAATAATAATAATAATTAATCCTTCCAACAAAATAAAATAGTTTTAGTAATAAATACGATGTAAGTATATATATATATATATTATTTTTTTCTAGAGCTACATGAAATGTGTAATTTTGATGAATTGATTTTAGAATTTCCAAGTAGTAAAATTCTCATTATGATGTTCTATGATCATTGTAATATATCGTTTAATTTGTTATTGCCAAATAAACAGAGTTTATATCACATTGTGCTCAAGAAAAATAGGTTGCTACTATAATGAACAAATAGCTCGAAAGAAGCAATATGGATCCATTGACTTTACAAGATCTTATATCAAACCTCATATATATATATATGCCCCTTTAACGTAGAATCAGATTATTACAATACTATGTCATATCATGCAGTCACAAGAGAGAGCAACATGACAATCTATGCAAACAAATCATTGACGGGCAATCTCATCACTACAATATTATTGAGCACCTTTTTTTGTACTGAAAAGTAGTAGTGCTACTAAACATCATAATCGTACGCTGCCACCATAATTATTTGACAAACGAAATAAGTGAGTGTTTCGGGGGCAAATTAAAAAATGTCTCCAAAAAGGTAAAATGTCAAATTACTTGTTGTGTCTTAACTTTTAACCTAATCGACTGATGAATATCATCGATATTGGTAATGGTCAAGTGTACGTACATCCAGCCATTTTATTCTGTCTAGCTAACTTTTTGGTTTGTAATCTAAAAGTACATACATGTAGATTTAATTTACACGAATGTATATATAATCATGAACTAGCTAGCTAGTCGAATATATATAAATATATATATGAAACGATATATGTATAAATTAGAGAATTAAAAGGAGGTGTAGATTTGCATCTGACTCAAGATATGCTCAAAGTTATCGGTTGACTTCTCAATGGCATGGGAATGCATGCCTTCATAAGTCGTCACCACAACCCCTTCGTCTTTAGTTAACCTCTGAACTTGTTTCTTCACGTTACAACCTTGATGCGTGCACCGGTAGTAACTTCTGCACACCAATATTAATAATTACTAATTAAGTACTAATTATACACGTAATAAGCTCCAAATGTCATATATATACAATGATATTGTATTTTATATATATACATATATATATATATATGTATGTATGTATGTATGCATGTATAATGTATAAATTATTGTGTTTGTGTGTGTTAACTAATGACAATATAGAGTTGTTTTACATATTTGGATAAACTATTTTAATTCCACGAACGTGGACTACTCAGAGAAGAAGTTTATATAATGGGCATTTGTATATGTTAATTATTAGATTATAAGATTATTTTCATAAATGCCCTTGGAACTATATACTCTATGTAAAAACACCCTTGATTTTTCAAAATGTTTCAAAACATTTCTTAATATATAAAAAACATATCAATATAGTCCCTCCGTCCATTTCCGTATATATTTAACAGATTTTGCTGATATGGCATCTAAATATTAAAACTTAATTAAAGGCATTAAATCATATTTCCATATAAAATGAAAAAAAAAAAACCCCCCATTTAATATGGGCCCTTGATCTAAGTACACTAAATCTCAGCCCTTATTTATGTTAAGTTAAAAAAATCCTAGAAATTTATCTTTCCTTACCAGCCCCCCACCCACCATCTACGCCTCCAAATTGAAGCTCCGTCGGTGCTAATTCTCAGTCACAATTTTTCAGCGCCAAAGCACTGTGGTGAGTACCCTGTCACACACCCCCACCCCCTTTTGCCCTGCCCTCAGCCGCGTCTATTTGACGCGCCTCCTAGTTAGGAACCGGACCGCCGTCCTGCGTAATTCCTCGAACCCAGATCACCGCCCCTCAACCCTTCAATTTTGTTCCTCACCGAAGCAGGAGTTAATGATGGTGGCGAAAAGCAAGTTCGTGAGTGGGAGGTGGGCTTACTGAATGTCGACAAGAGAATGGTGTGGAAGCTTTGGATTGCCATCCGAATAAGGGGTTGTCGACGTCAGGAGGAGGGGGTTGAGGCTAGTTTGGTGTCTAGTTGTTGGGTGGTTTTGAAAAATAATTTCAGAAAGTTTTTTCTTTTTTTCCTAAATCTTGTGTGGGTTTTTGAAAAATAATTGCAAAAGGTCTCACTTGATATGTTTTGAGGTTTTTTGGTCTTTACATGGCAACAGAGATCAAGATTAGGAAGATGAAAGAACATTGAAATACAAGGATGGCATCCCCAGAAAGTCTAGTTTGTTCCGGTTTTGAATGTGACAGGGAATTTTATTTTATTTTATTTTATTTTTGTAAATATAGCAAGAGAGAAGTTTTTATATTTTTTTTTGTTATTTTTTAATATGTAATCTTTTTTATATATAAAATTAGAACTTGCTTTAGTTAATTTTTAATACATGTTCTGCAAATCATTATTTAATGGCCTTAATTAATTTTTAACAATGTGTCAGGTCAGTAAAATCTGTTAAATATACACAGAAATAGACGAATGAGGCATATTAATCTGTTTTCTATGGTGTTTTGAAGTATTTTGAAAAATCAGAGGGTGTTTTGACATAGGATACATAGTTTGGGGGTATTTATGAAAATAATCCTAGATTTTTTTTTTTTCTTCAACCATTGACTTCAATTCCAATACGGCGTCCAAGTTTAATTAGTTATTTTATTTGCTTTCTTGTTGTCCACCCTTCAGATTTAAGGAACTTGGAAAGCTACAAAAATGATTACAAAACTTTCTTGGTTACCAAATTTTGAATTGCATATTGGCATATCTATATTGCATACGTGAATATGCACTGGACTGAATATCTCATCTTGACCTAAGCATAGACAATATATAAACAATCTCCTTTCTCTTTCAATAGACCAATATATATGCCCATCTGCGTATACATACATATATATGTGTGTGTGTGTGAAGCTATCATTTGTGACCATTATTAATATTTTGGTGGAGAAATATCTTGACCAATTCTTTTTTTTTTTTTACTGAAAAGATATCAATCATTGATATACACGTTATTCAACATGACGAAGTGTCTAGAAGGCAAGGACGTACGTGTGTGTAAGAACAAACAATTTCGTCCTTTGCCTTTCAAATGATCTTCTCAATAAAGTTTCATCAAATTCTACTAATTTAAGTTTAAAATTTAAGTTTTATTACAGTAAAAAGTTCTCATAAACAGTCACATCTAATTTTTTTACTATAGTAAAAGACTCTCACATAAAATCACATCTCAACTCAAATTACAAACTCAAATCAGTGAAGTGAACGGGTATCAATTTACAAAAACACTGGTACTGCGGAGGTTTCAAATTATGTATGGCTGAACAGTAACGCATATAGGTAGTTAGAAATTTTTAGTCCACATTAATTCGTGAATATTGTCAACTAAAATATATATAGAAACGTTTCATAGATAACGAAGAATTAATCTACCAGATCATACTCAATTAGTCACGTATATTAGCAGGAAAACATGATTAATTATTGCTATATATTATGCGCGCGCGCGAGTGCTAGACTTCTAATTAATTTTCATTTTTCGCTCTTTAATGTTTCTTTCTTCTAACACTTTCTTTTAAAGTTTGACTTACATACTATTTAGGACCCAAGCTGGATGTTTTGCATGTAATATATATGTCTTCTTATACAAGCCAAAGTTGGGTTTATTATGCGATGATCGCTCGTCAGAATTAGCCATGAGAGAATTATTTTAGTATGATTTTAGTTTAGCCTCACGTTATAATTCGTGCTTAACTAGCTAAATAAATATCACCCGGATCCTAATTTAGTTCTCCCTCCCCCCTACCTATATATGTATATGTGTATATGTATATGTATGTATGTGCATATGTATGTGTGTCCGTACGTACATACGTATGTGTGTATGTATTTGTGTAACACCAAGTAGAAATCTCATGATTATACGTTTTGGTGTTGACGAATGCTGAAACCATGAGTGCATGATGAATAACACAGCAAAATTTCAGCAGTATAGCCACGTTTAATTCCTCTACAGTATGAGATGTTTATATTGCTTCACTTTATTTTACATATCCCAATTATATGATCAATATCTCCTATCACATACATATTAATTCCATGTACAATATCATTAACAATTTAAATTATGAATTTCTTTTGCTTAAAAAAAAAATAAGTCTATTTCATTTCTAAAAGGATCACAACCTCTCTAATTAGTATTAGCTATCTAGCTAATTATTGGGTCATGAAATCAAGATCATATTTTTTTTCCCCACATTTACAGATTTTCCCAAAATTATATAAATCAATATCTACCTAACATTAGCAGGAATTGTAAATGGTTAAGGGATTTCCAAATTAACAACAAGACGCAAAATTCTAATATTATATATCCACTAACATGTACACAAAAGCGAAAAAAAAAAAAATAAGAAAATTTAGAATTAGTAAAGCAATTATATGTATATATATGCAAATGATATATATTACTAATTATAACATACAAAATTAGTAGTACATACCTGGGGAATTTGTTGTTCTTCACAGCCTTTTGACCGTACTTCCTCCATCGATATCCATCATCAAGTATATCAACTTGGCTCCTCGTTTGAAAAGCATATCTTGGCTTTCTTATTTTCTTCTGTCCCTTATAATTATTATTATTATTACCGCCACTTTTCTTTTCTGATTTCAGCACATGATCAATCTCGAAGCCGCTCTGAGAAACAACAACGTTACCGGAACCTGCCGGGATATTATTATTATCGATCACCTGATGATCCATCTCCGACATCAATCCCAAGAACCCATTTGACATCTTCATGTTACCTTGGCTTTCCGTACCATAATTTGCTAACTGTGTACTCGTAGTGTTCAATGACAAAGAAGAAGAAGAAGATGGTGGAGATGAAGTTGATGCAAAAGGAAGAAATGGGAAATAATTCTGGTCCATATTCTTGTCAGAGGAGAGAGAGAGAGAGAGAGAGAGAGAGAGAGAGAGAGAGAGAGA